GGTCAATTCTGTAAGGGACAAATGGAATTGTACAGAAAGCTCCAAAGCAGTGAGAAGCATAAGACACAATTGCTTTCAGCCTTCTCTTCCCTCTCAGTTATACTGTGAAGAGTTAACCCAGAGAAAGCAGCAAGAAAATGTCCACAAGACTCCCTGGAACCAGTTTCTGCACTAGGAATAGCTGGCTTGTAGAGATGTCTCCATCTGCATCACACATGGGGCAGAAGCCTACATATGGGCCAAGTGGGAATGGCATGGGAGAGTTTGCTTGCTTGATTGGTAAATGACAGCGATGAAAATCACATGCAAGCATGCCAACAGATTTAATCTTTCTCTACCTTCCCGATCACAAACAATTTCTTTGCCTATTAATTTTTGTAGATACCATTAAAAGGAATACCATAGCCAATGTTATATCAGACCCAATTACTTTAGTGAACTGCTTCTATTTTTTTTTTTTCATGCTGTGGCATTTCCTTCCCCCTGAAAACACTCTTTCACTCAGTCTAGCAATTAACTGCTTGAACAGTATAATAAGGAAGCAATTAAGAGGTGACAGAGAAAAATTAACACTCCATTTCACATTAAAGGCTAAGTGAGTATCCTTGCCATTGTGAGTTAAATGTGTCTTTGAAAACCTGTAGTTTGGATGTATTTTCCTTTTGAATAAGGAACCCAGCTCCATGGTTTTTGTCTAGCATCCCTATCTGAAAATGGATGATAACTAATTGGGTGCTGTCTGCTTAAACAGGCTATATTAATTGCAGTTTATTCTCCTGTAAGTGTCAAGGAAAACAAAATCTTTGTAATATGTAGGCATAATGTATGGCTGCATTCTTTGAATATGCAGGCCATGTCCTAGTGCAAATAAAGCAAACTTCTGGATGCAATGTTGCCATGGCAGGCAGAATTTGCATAATAAATAACAGCTATCATGAGACTTTCTTTATGAAGTTCTCTGTTGTGTTGTCAGATCTAAGAGCCTCCAATAAGCAGCCAATATTGAGGAAGTGGAGTGTGTTTTGCTTGCAAATGCAACAACCAAACCGAGTCACTGTCAAGAATTCATTTTAGTGTTGCTGGCTAAATAGGATGAATTATATAAGTGATGAACTGTATCAACACACATCCACAAGGTGACCAGAATGGGTTGAATTAACTCAGGAACATCATATCTTGTTCTTCTGTGCCAAGGTCTTTCAGCACAATAGTACTATATGCAAACTCATCCTCTGTATCATTGAAGCTTGGATCAAATCAGTTAGAAAATTTTATGTTATTCCCGGTGATAGGGATTGGAATGATATTTGATGGGGGAGTGGGGTTTTCTATAGCATTATTCTGTGAGGTTTTATTCACATACTATTATAAGGCCATTAGATGTCTCTTGATACTTATTTAGGGGCTTTCCTTTAGGCATTACATATATAAATTTACCTTGAGTTGGTATTAACACAGGAGTCTGGCCAAAAGGTAAAGTTATTTTTGCATTGATTGTTATATTTTCCTTCCCTTTTACCACCTTCACAAAACTTAGGACTCAGAAAGATCAAAGGTTAATTGTGTTTCCCAACCATTCTTGGAATTAGATTAATAAGAACCTTGCTTTACACAGATTTACACATTCTGCCAAACTACTTGTCCCTGATGAGTTTTATATTTTTGTTCTCAAAGAAAGAAATCCTAGCCACCATCATCATGACTTTGGCTACTATTTATTGTGTGCTTACTAAGTAAACGACACTCTGTTAAATAATATCCTGTGCCTTATCCCCACTTACCCATACAATGTGTGTAGTTCCTATTGTAGGCCCAAGAAAAACTAGGCTAAGTCTGGAGTCAGGATTTGAATTTTGTGCTTTCTCTTAAGAGCTCATGCTCTTTCACCACTTAATGCCCCAAGGGCAGAATTTTAAAAGGGAACATTAATGAGACCTTTCCTTTAACAAATAATGACTACAAACAGCACTGTATTTTCTTCTAAAGCCAATGATTCTAGGAGAGAAAGGTGCAACAAATCTGGAACTGATTCTCACCTCTTTATTGCCTGATTTATAAGGGCAAAGAAGTTAGAAAGAGGTCTGCTCTAGATGGAGGCCTAATAGGTTGTCTTTTATTTCTACAAAATAGAAGAGAAAAAATGGGGGGGGGATATCAAAACCTCAACAACTCTTTTTTTTTTTTTCATTTTTATGAGCCCAGAAAAGTAGTCAAAGCTATTAAAGACTATTCATTATCTTTTTATAAACATTTCATCATCTTAAGATTTCCTTGCTAAAGAAAAACTTGTTGTTTAGGTGTTTTTATAGAGCAATTTTCTGTAGACAAGTTACACATCTTAAAATAATGACTAATAGTGGAAATTAGGTATGTGATGGCTAAAGGGCAACATTAGAATATGCTATATACTAGAAAAAATAAACACTTGGGCACTTTAGCTTTGAGAGTGAAATCCTTAAAAGAAAAACATTTGTTGCAAATGCAGAAATAGTATTTAATAATAATAGATTAATATGTAAATTAACCATCACTCCACTACACAAACCACACCCACCAGGCACACTCACCAGCCCAATCAGAGCAAATATGCAAATTAACCCAACAAAGATGGCGGTTAATTTTCATATGCAGAGGGCAGGAGGAGTGAAGACTGAAGACAGCATAGAAGAAAGAGGGAGGGAAAGTGGAAAGCAAGGCCGCTGTGGCTGCTGGAGGGAAAGCCCTGGCAGCGCATCGGGGGCAGGGCAAAGTGAGGTGCACAGTGGAGGTGGTGGGCATGGTGGGTCAGGTGGGAGGGGTGGGGTCTGCAGTGGTGGTGGCAGAGTGTGGCTTTGGAGACAGTGATAGTGATGGCTATGGGTGGGGCGGGCGGGGTGGGGCAGGCAGGATGGGCGGGATGGGCTCTGCAGTGGAAGAGGTGTGGGGGTGGAAGAGGTGTCAGTGGCAGGAGGGAAGCCTGCTGGAAGTCTTGCAGGAATATTCCTGCAACGGGTCACTAGTATTTAATAATTGTGAAGAGAGTGGTGAAAATGGCAAAAAACTGGCAACACAGTTGGAGAACCTGGGCAGCTTGTATTGTTGCAGAAGACCAGAGAAAAACCAAGCAACACTTTAGCAAAAAGAAGTTACACTCTTTATTATGCTGGTAGACTCAACAGAATAACTTCCCAAATCTGAGTAAAGTAACATGCAGGGGGCTTATCTTTTATATCTTTCTTGGATCTTTGTCCCTCAAATATGGATTATGCTTCTGGTCCCTTCATGGGCTTTGCAAAAAGGCCCCAGGTGTTGGGGGTTTTGAGACCATATCTGATGGTCTGACCTGGCGCCAGCACTAATAACCCCTGCCCTCCAGGACTGTGCATTGTTCAGAGTTTATGGCCTCTGTATTTAGGTAACAGACTTTGTAAGGCCAGTTTCTGGGAAAGAGGCAGTGACTTAATTATAGGTTATCAAGAATGTACACTGGGATTGCTGGCACAGATTCAGATTGCTAGCCCCCAAATATCAGGGTTATGTTGGAATTAGCCTTTTTAGCTTTCTTACCCCCCATCCCTCCCACTTGTCCCACAAGTTTCTCTTAGCCTTGTGGTACAACCACTATGGAATGTTATAATGAACGGGGACAACAACTGCTCTTAGTTGCTTCCTGCTGATAAGGGTGGTGACCAAGGGGTTAGCATCTTGTTTCTTCCTCTTGGAGAGGTTTGTAGGGAATTCTTCTGGTCTGTAGGACCATTTAAAGTTTAAAGGCATCTAGTTGAGATGAGATACAGCAAGTTAACAGATTTAGAAGACATTATCTTAAGGTTATGGCTATGAATAGCATTAACAGTGGTCCTGTCAATGGAAGGAGCCATTTCCAGACAACCCCTAACCCCATGCAGCCCAGGTCTCAGATAACTCCTGTCTTACTTTTGAAGCTCGATCAGCTAGTTTATTGGTCCCATCCCTTACAATACCAGACTGGTTGGTATAAAAACAGCACTCTTATTCAAGGAGCAGGCACAATACTCATTTCTCTGCTGTGAGAAGGTCTAGACCTCTTTGATTCTAGAGAGTAACAGCTTTTAGTGAGTCAATCTGATCCTGTACACAACAATACTTTGGGCTATTTCTTCTAAGCTGTCAGCAAGGTCTTTGGATAGGCTCTGATAGTAGAAGAGGGAAGTTGCCAGTCCCCCTATTCCAGTGTTTACCCCTGCTGTAATGCCAAGTATTATAAGGAGAGGGATTAGCTGGACTGCTCTTTTATATTGGATATGGTGTGTTACTGGGACAGGCAAAGAATGATTGTTGGGGGCTATGTCTACGTTGGGTGAGAGATAGATGAGAGTGCAAGTCCCTGTCCAGTTTGTGGGGAGAAAGATATATGTGTTTTGTCCACAGAGGAAGATTCCCTGATTATGGAGACAAGTTTAAAGATGTAAAGAAAAAAGGTGAGTTGCAGGGTATTGGGGGGGGGGGGTCTCTGTCCTGATTCTATGCTCCAAACGGAGAGGGTGGCTGCCATGGCACTTCTGATAAGAGGTGACAGAAGAGGTTGAGAGTCTCTTGCAGTTAAAATGGGCAGGGATACTAGCATGAGGTGTTATTCAAGGAAAAAGTAAAAGGGGAAGGAGAGAAAAATTGAAGCCTCGGGCCTGGACTGTTGAATAAGAAGTAAAAAATGACCATTGGCTTTTGGGGAGACCTGGTAGTCAATCTGTTAAGAGCAATAGGTGTTTGGCAGTTCTAATTTGACTGTGGTGTTGCAAGAAGAGGATGGGAGGTCACTCATTGATGTATTGCACTGTGATCTTGTAAAACATAAAGGGGCCTGGGCTAGTAGTGAGGTGTGTAGCGAGATAGGGCCTGTGACTTGGAGAGAAAATGAAGCCACTTTAGCAAGAGATTGAACATAGGTATGAAAGAGAAAGGAGGTTTGATTAGGATAATCACCTAAGATGGTATAAGGACAGCTAGATATGCTGAAGAAGAGAAGAAAAGGCAATCCAGCACTCCCTGGCTAAGGCTGGGTTGGTCTGATTTAAGAGGGAGAGGGTGAGGTTAAGCATTTAGTAGAGATAATGAGGACTTAGAAGGCTCTCAAGAGGCAGAGTGTAGACCTGGGAGTGGTCGAAATTAAGAGAGTTCCATAACAGTAAAAGAATTAACCTTAGCTTCATCTTGCTCCTTTGCTGCATAGAAAGCTGTAATTTTATGGTGCTTCTGTGTCCCAGAAAGGGCAGATGAGTTCTCCTCCCGGTACTAGTCTCGGGTTCTGGTGGCACTCATAAAAAGACAAAATATGAATTATTATAAAGATAAAAACAATGATTATCCAGAAATACCAGAGCATATAGCCTTTAGGAAAAGATAAGAAAGAAATATTAGTGTAAGAAATAATTCAGCAGGGTGTTTCTGAATTCCTTGTAGCAGGTTCATCATCCAGGTCAGTTGTCTTCTTGAATGTGATTCGCAGGGAGTGTTTCTGGTCAGAGGTCACTTTCCACTGAGGCTGGTTGTCACTTGGCTGGTGGGCTGCTTTTATCCGGGAGTGATGGATCCAGGTGTTCAGTCCTGAAACCTTGAGAGCTGTGGGTGTGGTTGATATGAATGGATAGGGTCCTTTCCAGGTAGGCTTGAGGGGCTCCTTTTTCCAATCCTTTAACCAAACATGGTCTCCAGGTTTATAAGGATGTACGACTATTTCTAGAGAAATGGGTAACCATTCAGTAACCCATCTGTGGACCTCAAAGACAGTTTTTCCAAGTCCTTGTAATTGCTTCTGGATTTCTAAGTTCCCTATTTTCCCCAAATCTCCCTTTGGCCGAATTAAGGGAAGGATCTACCATATAAAATTTCAAAGGGAAAGAAACCTACCCTGGCCCTCGGGGCACAGTGTATCCCCAGGAGGACAAGAGGCAAGATATCAGTTCAGGGTAAGGTTGTCTCTTGGCATAGTTTAGCCATAGCCTGCTTTAGAGTCCAGTTCATGTGCTCTACTTTCCCTGAACTCTGAGGCCTATAAAGTGTATGTAGGTTCCATTAAAATTTCTAAAGCCTTAACTACCTGTTGTCCTATTTCTGCTATAAAGGCTGGGACATTATTGGACCCTATGGCCAGAGGAATTACATATCATGGAATTATATCCCTCAGCAATGCCTTAGTGACTTCTGTAGCCTTTTCTGCTGTGAGCGGGATATGCCTCAACCCAGCCTAAAATGGTGCAAACAAAGACTAGTAGGTATTGATTTCCTCTGCGAGGCCCTATCTCTGTAAAATCTATTTCTAAGTCCTCAAAGGGAGCTTGCCCACAGTGCTGAGTTCCCATCGGTCCCACAGAACCCTGTTTGGCATTGTTCTTCACACAAAGGAGGCAACACTGTGAGACTGAGGCACACAAGGAGGGAAGACAGGCAATTAGGTAGTATATGCCTAACAAAGCTTTTAGGGAAGTCTTCCCTAAATAAGTAAGTTCATGCTACTGGAGGACTACCTTATGGGCTAACTGTTCTGGGACATAGAGCTTATGATCTGGGAGTATCCACCAGACTTCCTTTGTTCTCTTGCCTTCTTCTTGCTGGGCCCAATCTTTTTTTATGAGAAGTGTATTTTGGAGGTTCAGGTAATTCGGGGGCCAACATGATTCATGACGGTGCTACTTATCCTTAACAGCCAGCTTGGCTTGGGTATCAGCACATGGGTTTCCTTCTGACACTGAGTCTTTCTCCTTATGATGACCTTTACAATGGATGATGGATATTTCCTTGGGCTCCCAGACTGCTTCTAGTAACTTTAAAATCACATTCTGATTTGTTATTCCTTTTCCTCCAGCTTTCAGGAGCCCTCTTTCCTTATATATGGCCCCATGCATATGAGGGTAGCAAAGGCATAGCGTGAGTCCGTGTAGATGTTGGCACGCTTATTCCTACTGAGTTCTAGGGTTCTTACTTGTTCTGTCCTCTGCACTGACCATCCTTCAAGCAGGGCCTGTGCCTCGTTTGTCTCAAAGTTTGATACCACTGCATATCCAGCTCATCTTTTTCCTTCATCTAAGAAGCTACTGTCATCCGTGAACAATACTAAGTCTGGGTTTTGTAGGGGGCTGTCTGTTAGATCTGGCCGGCTGGAGTAAACCTCCTCTAGGACTTCCAGGCAATCATGCTCAGGGCCCCCTAAGTGATGGGTAAAAAGGTGGCAGGATTAAGGGTTCTCACTGCTTCTAATCATACCCACGGACTTGCACATAACAGCCCTTGATACTGAGTCATTCTAGCATGAGTCAGCCAGTGCTACCACCTTGATTCCATCAAGGTGACAACAGCATGAAGTACTTTTACATTTAAGTTTTGTCCTAAGGTAAGCTTATCTGCTTCCTTGACTAGCAATGCCATGGCTGCAAGGCCCCTGAAACATGGAGGCCACCCAGAGGCAACCAAGTCAATCTGCTCCAAGAGATAGGCTACTGGGTTTTTATTTTTGCCAGGATACAAAGTCCTGGGTTAGAACTCCTAGAGCTACCGCACTATTCTTATGAACAAAAAGATTACAGTCCTGCATCACATCTGGTAGCCTTGGTTCTGGGGCCTCAGTGAGCTTTGCCTTTATGGTGATGAATGCTTTATCCTGCTCAGGATCCCAGTTGATGGGATTTTTCTCTTCCCCTTTTAAAGCTTTATAGAGAGGTTTATCCAGGTCTGAAAACTCTGGGATCCAAATTCGACAGAGGGGGGGAGAGGATATAAAGTCTCCATTCTTCTTCCCTTAGCACTGCAAAGGACAGCTTCATTGGGGAAGACTCCTCACCTAGGCAAATCTGTGCTGAGCCATCTGGATTAAAACAGAACCCTGCTGCTCCCAGGAATTCCCAAATCTGCCACAGGGTGCAAGGGAATGGGATGGCACATACTGCCTGCTTCCTTTCAGTCCTTAGCCTTTGTTTCCCTTGGGTGATCCGAAAGCCTAGATACTTGACTTCTTTCTTTTCTTTCTGACAACTCTGTGCTTTTTTCTTAGATACCCGATAACCTGTTTCAGTTAATAGTCTCAGAAGGGCTCATGTTCCCTTCCAGCACTGAGCTCGTGAGGAGCTAGCCAGTATTAGGTCATCTACCTATTGGAGTAGAACACACCCGAAGTCCTATCCTGGGAACTTAGATCAGATGCTAGTGCTCCATTAAAAAGAGTAGGGGAATTCTTGAACTCTTGTGGCAGTCTGGTCCAGGTGAACTGCTCCTTGGCCCCTGTAGTGGGTTTTCCCATTGAAATGTGGAAAGAGGCTGGTTGGAAGGTGCCAACTGAAGGCAGAAAAAGGCATCTTTCAGATCTAGGCATGCAAACCATTCTGCCTCTGATGGAATGAGTCCCAGAAGAGTGTAGGGATTTGGCAGTGTTGAATGCAGGGTTATAACAGCTTCATTAAAAGCCCACAGGTCCTGCAGGAGGTGGTAGTCATTAGTCCCAGGCTTTTTGACAGGCAAGAGAGGCATGTTCCATGGAGACCTGCATCATTTAAGAAGCCCCCATTGGAGCAGCCAGTCCAAGTGAACCTGGATTCCTAGGTGTGCTTCCCTTGGAATTGGATATTGGCAGATTTTAACAGGCTGTGCCCCAGGCTTTAAGTTGATTAGTACTAGGGCGTGGTACTTGGCCAGGCCTGGAGGATTCCCTTTCCCCCAGACCAGCGGGAATTCTTTCTCTAATTTAGGCTCTAATAGTGAGGCCTTTGACTGGCAGGGGCAGGGGGGGGGGGGGGAGAGGATATAAAGTCTCCATTCTTCTTCCCTTAGCACTGCAAAGGACAGCTTCATTGGGGAAGACTCCTCACCTAGGCAAATCTGTGCTGAGCCATCTGGATTAAAAGTGATTTTTGCCCCCAATTTGGCTAAAAGGTCTCTCTACCCATTAGAGGCACTGGACAGTCTAGCAAGTACAGACACCCCGAGAGCAACAGGGTTCTGTCAAATTTGGATCCCAGGTTTTTCAGACCTGGTTAAACCTCTCTATAAAGCTTTAAAAGGGGAAGAAAAGAATCCCATCAACTGGGATCCTGAACAGGATAAAGAATTCATCACCATAAAGGCAAAGCTTTCTGAGGCCTCACAAAGTTGGCATAAGCGAAGGCGGCAGAACAGTCTATGGGTCTGGTAACAAGTAACTCCAGTTATGGTGACCTCCTTTCCTGAGAGAGGCGCTATGTTCTGTGTGACTACTGAGTGCTCAGTTCCTGTATCAACCATAAAGTCCATAGTTTGGCACCCAGTTTTCATTCTTACCAGGGTCTCATGGATGCCCAGCTGAAAAGAGCCCAGTTTGTCCTAGTTGAAATCAGCCATTGCTAGCCCAATGAGATCTGCTTTATGTGGCTCTGGTTGATAGTGACAGGGCAGAATAAGGGCCACAGTTTTCTTACTTTGACATTTGGGACATTCATTCTTCCAGTGTCCTGTTTCCTTACAATAGGCATACTGGTCTCATCTAAAGCTCAATCGTCCTTTCCCCCCTAATCTGTATCCCCCCCCCCTCATTTCAATAAGTATTTATTGTTCAGACTAGAGGCCTGGTGCATGAAATTTCTGCACAGGAGTGGAAGGATGCCCCTCAGCCCAGCCTGCACCTTTCCAATCTGGGACCCCTCGAGGGATGTCCAACTGCCCATTTAGGCCCGATCCTACTGGAATTGGGCATAAGCAGGCAGTTGGACATCTCTCTTATAATCTAGGACTTCGAACTCCTGACTGATCACCTGCCTGCCTTCCTGATTGCCCTCTTTCCATTCACACACTCTCATTAACAATATTTTTAATTACTCTTAGTGATTCTTTTTCTTTCTTTCTTTCTTTGTTTCTTTTTTTTTTTTTTTTTAGCAATTTCAGATGCTACATTATAAAATAATTCCCCAGTTTTATTGATGCATAATTGACAAATGAAAAGAGTATATATTTAAGGTATACAATATAATGTGTTGATATAGTTATACATTGTGAAATGGTTACCACAATAAAATTAATTAACATATCAATTGACTCACTTTTGTGTATGTGTGTGTGTGTGTGTGTGTGTGTGTGTAGGGGGGAAGGGGAATAAATCTTAAATCTTCTCACCAACACAAACACACACACACACACACACACACACACACACACACACAATGGTAACTATGTAGAGATGATGGATAAGTTATTTAGTTTGAGTGTGGTGATCTTTTCACTATATATTTTCATATTCAAGTTGTATACTTGAATATATACAATTTTTTATATGTCAAGATAGCTTAATAGCTTAATAAAGTTCTTTAAAGAGTAAAAATAAAGGTCACTAATCCAGGTCCCAAGCTCCATGAAGAATGGCATTCCTCTGTTCATGATGTTGCCCTATGCATCTGGCTTTTCTGGAAATTCTCCCTTGTTCTGGATATGTTAGTCTGGATCTGCAAAAGTTCAGGACCATTGTCCACAAAATGATCCTGTACAAAAAGTTGTATCACTTCACAAAAATTACTGGAAAGAGGAAAAATAGCAGGAAATGCTAAAGGAGTACAATCAGATTATCGAGTTGTTCCAGTGCATTTATTGAAAATACTATAACTTGCTAATATTTTTGCCAATATATTTCATAGGGAAAGGGAAACAAAGAAACAAAATGAACAATTTCAACTATATCAAACTAAGAAGCTTCTGCACAGCAAAATAAATCATCAGCAAAATGCAAAGTGGACTCACTATATGAGAGAACATATTCACCAATGGTATATCTGATAAGGGGTTAATATCCAAAATATATAAAATACTCAGACAACTCAACACCAGGAATGCAAACAATCCAATTTAAAAATGGGCAAAAGACCTAAAAGAACACTTCTCTGGAAAGGCCAAAAGATATGTGAAAAAATCCTTAAAGTCACTAATCAGCAGAAAGATGTAAATTAAAGCCACAATGAGATGTAACTTCACACCTGCCAGAATGGCTGCCATCAGTAAATCAACAATCAAGTGCTGGTGAAGATGTGGAGTAAAGAGAACCCTGATGAGCTGTTGCAAACTGGTGCAGCCATTGTGTGAATCAATATGGAGGTTCTTCAAAACATTAAAAATGGAATTGCCATTTGACCCAGTTATCCCACTTCTGGGAATACATCCTAAAATTTCTGAAACACCAGTTCAAAAGAATATATGTACCTCTATGTTCATAGCAATGTTATTTACAATAGCCAAGATTTAGAAACAGCCAAGATGCCCATCATTAGATAGGTGGGTATAAAACTGTGGTACATTTATACAACAGAATACTACATGCTCATAAAAAGGGGAAAAAACAATGCCCTTTGTGACAGCATATATGGACCTGGAGATATTATGTTAAACAAAATAAGCCAGTCAGAGAAAGGCAAATACCATTTAATATCACTCATATGTGGAATCAAATGAACAAAATAAACTCAGAACAAAATAGAACCAGATGCATGGATACATGAAACAAACTGATAGCTATCAAAGGTGAGCAGGGAGAGGGGATGTATAAAAGAAAGTGAAGAGATTAGTCAAAGAACATATATGCATAACCTATAAACACAAACAATGATGTGGTGATGGCCATAGAGAAGGGGTCAGGGGCTGGATGGAGGTGGGCAAAAGGGGGATTGAATGGGGACTTATATAATAATGTCAACAATAAAAATAAAGTTAAAAAAGAATAACAAAAAAGACACGTATGAAAAAAGTGTGTATATGGAGGGACAGGGGTTCCTGGGTGTTGACTATGATAGTCAAGGTTAGAGAGGTAGTGAGGGCGAAAAGGTGATGGGGAACTATTACCAAATTCTAAGCAGTGGAAAAACTCTGCTACTCTTGCTCTGTGTGGGGATGTACTAGAAAA